GAAATTCTCAATACGTACTTCCTCTCAGTTTTCACCCAGGAATATACTAGAGATATTCCTGAAATAATAGATTATGTAGAACAGGACGATAATAAACTATGCACGATTGCGGTAACTAGTGACATGGTCCTCAGACAAATAGAGAAACTAAAACCTAACAAATCCCCAGGTCCTGATGAACTGTTTGCAAGGGTGTTAAAGGATTGTAAAGAGAAACTTATACCTTTGGCTAATCTTTTTAACATATCACTACAAACTGGCATAGTGCCTGATAAATGGAAAACGGCAAATGTAATACCTATTTAAAAGGAAGGTGACAGGTCCTTGGCTTCGAACTATAGACCAATAAGCCTTACCTCCATAGTGGGAAAATTTATGGAATCAATAATTGCCGAAGCAATTCGTAGCCATCTTGACAGGCACAGATTGATTAATGAATCTCAACACCGTTTTACAAAGGGGCGTTCCTGTCTTACGAATTTACTTTTTTCCCTAAGGTGTTTGAGGAGGTAGATCATGGTAATGAATATGATATTGTGCATATGGACTTCAGTAAGGCTTTCGATAGAGTTCCACACCAGAGGCTATTGAGGAAACTTAAGACACACGGAATAGGAGAATTTTTTTCCTGGGTAGAGGCATGGCTGACAAAGTGGCAGCAGAGAGTTTGCATAAACGGGGAGAAATCAGAATGGGGGCACGTCACAAGCGGTGTTCCTCAGGGGTCAGTGTTGGGCCTGTTGTTGTTCACAATTTACATAAACGACATAGATGAGGGAAGAAATAGCGACATAAACAAATTTGCTGATGACACCAAAATAGGCCGTCCAGTTCATTCTAATGAGGACACTAGAGCACTCCAGGATGATTTGAATAGACTGATGCAATGGTCGGAGAAGTGGCAGATGCAGTTTAATATTGACAAATGCAAAGTTCTAAATATTGGACAGATAAATAACCATGCCACATATAAACTAAATAATGTAGATCTTAATACTACTGATTGCGAAAAGGATTTAGGAGTTCTGGTTAGTAGTAATCTAAAACCAAGACAACAGTGCATTAGTGTTTGCAATAAAGCTAACGGAATTCTTGGCTTCATATCCAGAAGTATAAATAATAGAAGTCCTCAGGTTGTTCTTCAACTTTATATATCCTTGGTTAGGCCTCATTTAGACTATGCTGCTCAGTTCTGGTCACCGTATTACAGAATGGATATAAATGCTCTGGAAAACGTACAGAGGAAGATGATCCCAAGTATCAGAAATCTTCCCTATGAGGATAGACTGAGGGCCCTGAATCTGCATTCTCTCGAAAGGCGTAGAATTAGGGGGGATATGATCGAGGTGTATAAATGGAAAACAGGAATAAATAAAGGGGATGTAAATAGAGTGCTGAAAATTTCCAGCCAATACAGGACTCGCAGCAATGGTTTCAAGTTGGAAAAATTCAGATTCAGGAAGGATATAGGAAAGCACTGGTTTGGTAATCGAGTTGTGGATGAGTGGAACAAATTCCTGAGTGCAGTTATTCAGGCTAAAACGTTGTGTAGTTTTAAAAATAGGTTAGATAGGTTGGTGTGGGTGGGTGTGAGTTGGACCTGACTAGCTTGTGCTGCTGGGTCTGGTGCCGTGCTCCTTCCTTGAGTGGAGGTGACCAGACTGGGTGGGTCATTGGGCTAATCCGGGTGGGGGTCATTGGGCTAATCCGGGTGGGGGTCATTGGGCTAATCTTGGGGGATGGGACATGGACCTGCTCTACATGGGCCAATAGGCCTGTTGCAGTGTTCCTTCTTTCTTATGTTCTTATGTTCTTGAAAAAAACATTTCCCATCATCATTCCACTAATCGCTCTTCTTCCCTCCCACACCCACTTTCCTGTAACCACAAACTTCTGCTGAACACTCTAATACATTTTTAAACTTTCCCCATACATCTTAAGCCTCATTGCCTATACTCTCACTAACCAATCTATCCCCCAATAATTGTTTATATCTTACCTTAACTGCCTCCTTCTTGAGTTTATAAACCTTCACCTCTCTCTTACTTGCTGTTTCACTTCTTGTATCTTATCTTCCTTTTACTCTCAGTGTAGCTACAACTAAAAAGTGATCTGATATATCTGTGGCCCCTCTGTTAACATGTACATCCTGAAGTCTACCCAACAGTCTTATCTACCAATATGTAGTCCAACAAACTACTGTCATTATGCCCTATATCTTATCTTGTATACTTATTTATCCCTTATTTTTTTAAGTATGTATTACCTATAACCAAACCATTTTTTATACAAAGTTCAATCAAAGGCCCCTGTTATCATTTACACCTGGCACCCCAAACTTACCTACCACACCCTCTTTAAACATTCCTCTCACTTTAGCATTTAGGTCCCCTACTACAATTACTCTCTCACTTGGTTCAAAAGTTCCTCCACACTCGCTTAACATCTCCCAAAATATCTCTCTCTCCCCTCTAAACTCATCTCTTCTCCAGGTGCATACACGCTTATTATGACCAACTTCTCACATAAGACCCATATTTTAATCCACATAATCCTTGAATTTATACATTTATATTCCCTCTTCTCCCTTCATAACTGATCCATTACATTATTGCTACACCTTCCTTAGCTCTCTCTCAGATCCTCCTGACTTAATCCCATTTATTTCTCCCCACTGAAACTCACTCACCCCCTTCAGCTTTGTTTCACTTTGAGGCAGGACATTTAACTTCTTTTCTTTCTTAACATTAGCAATCATCTCTTCCTTATCTCTACGACATCCACAAGCATTCAGATATCCCAGTTCCATAAAGTTTTTCTTCTCTCATCTGAGATCGTTTAGTCCCATGATGATTTGAATCTGGAACATGTTCGTACAATATAATGATGAAATTGCTGGCCCACCGTTGGCTCCAACTTCACCCTGCTCCATATTTGCACATTTCATAACACTAATATGGCTTTCAAATGAACTGATGTAGGTAACGGCTCTTAGCTTATAAATAAAATTAGGAACCTTAACCTAACCTTGTAAAATCCTGTTACAAAAAAACACGAGATAAGAGAGAGAGAGAGAGAGAGAGAGAGAGAGAGAGAGAGAGAGAGAGAGCATCACACAATCATCTAAACGAAGAGAGAAAGGGAAATACATATTAACTAATAACTCTCACAAACACAGACACAAAGAAACAAAAAAAAAATAACGATGATTTTTTCAATAGAGAAAACAGGAAGTAAAATAAAGAAAACAAATACAACACTATCAGGCAACCAAAAAAACAAGACACTTTCAATTCGAACAATCGAAAAAAAAAACATTGAAAGTGGTACCATCAAAGGCACCAGGGAGAGGACGAAGCTCTCTATAAATCTATTCTATAATCGTATTTTGTTAGTCGAGACCTGTCCCTAGGTCTTCATGGTACCCTTAGTCCCTTTAGGTCACCCTGGATCTGCATTCTGTCTCTCACTGGACCCACCACGATCTAATGGACCCTATAGGATCCGATGGATCCTCTAGGATTCACTAGACCCTCCAGAATCCACTGGGCCCTCCATTATCCACTGGACTCTCCAGCATCCACTGGGCCCTTCTGGATTCACTCGACCCTCCTTGATTCGCTGGACACTCCAGGATCAATTGGACTCTCTAGGATTCACTGGTTCTCCAGGATCCACTGGACCCCCTCCGGGGTCCACTGGACCCTACAGTATTCACTAGACCCTCTAGGATCCACTGGACCTTCCGCGATCCACTGGACTCCCCAGGATTCACTGGACCCTTCAGAATCCACTGTATTCTCCAGGATCCACTGGACCCTCCAGGATCCACTGGACCCTCCTGGATCCACTGAACCCATCAGGTTTCACAGAACCATCAGGGATCCACTAAACTCTTCAAGATCTACTGGATCCTGGAGGGTCCAGTAGACCCTTCAGGATCCACTGGGCCCTCTAGGATCCATTAGAAGCTCCAGAATCTACTAGATTCTCCAGGATCCACTGGACCCTCTAGAATCCACTGAATACTCCAGCACCGACTGGACCCTCTAGGATCCACTGGACCCTCCTGGATTCACTGGTCCCTCCAGGATTCAATGGATCCTCCAGGATCCACTGGACCCTCCAAGATTCACTACATCCCCTAGGATCCACTGGATCCTCCAGGATTCACTGATTCCACTAAAATCACCAAGTACCCCTAGAACTCTTCAGAAACTATTGGTCACACCAAGACCTTTTAATACAGCCCTTAGGACCTTCTTGGACCCATACCCCTAGAATCTCTTAGGACCGTTCAAGATCTTCATATTTTCATAGGCCTTCTTATTTCCTCCCTAGATCCCTTCAGGACGCCAGGTCCCACTAGGGGTTCGTATTAATCCCTAGGAACTCCGTGGACCCTCTAGGATGCCCAGGACTTCTTGGATCGTATGGAATGATTTAAAAACTTCAGGACTCTAGCGTTCCAGATGCAGAGGACATATTTCAGGATCTTCGAATTTCAACTCTCATTACTTTTAGCATCTAAGATCTTCCAGATTCATGACTTCAGAACGAAGGAAATGCAGAATCAGGAAGTACGAACTTCAGAGCCGTACACTTCATGACACCGAATGCCTAACGACCTTCAATGCCTAAGACCTTCACGATCCAAGAATTTCAGGATCGACGACGTTCAGGAAGCTTTACATGTAGGGAAAAATATTCTCAGACCACCAGAGCCAAAGACTCTCATTTGTACTTTGTGAAATTCAGGGCTGGCACGCCTTAGAAAATTATTTTGTTCTATAACAACGAAATTATAAATCCGGAAATTTCAGAACCCACGATCTTCAGGATATTAAAATTATTAACATAATAATAATAATAATAATAATAATAATAATAATAATAATAATAATAAACACACACACACACACACACCACACAACACACACACTACAGATATATTAGATAGATTAGATAGATTAGGTGAGGTGACTACACACACAACTCACACGTCATATCTATGGTGACAGCAGCTGTGACAGGAACAGCAAACTCAGCGTTCTTGGCCTGACATATGAATGACTGGTGGAGGTGGTGTCGCTGTAGTGATGGCACTGTAAGTGTGTTGACCACCTCACTGGCACTCTCAACAATCTCTCCTCTCACCTCCTTGTGTCCTGCCCACCACGTCAGCGTTGGTGCCGGACGACCTGTACATTAAAAAGAATTAATTAGACGTACATTATCAATTTCACTAGGTTAGAATGAGGACAGGGTAAATTTGGTTAGGTTATGTTGTGTTATCTTGTGAATGTTGATAAGACATATGTGCTGCAGTTATGTATATTTATTCCGAAACTTTTCGCTTACACGGTGGAGTTCTTCAGTCAAGGCAGCAGAAGCAGTAGAGCAGTAAAGATGTAATTAGTCCATCACCCTCGAAGAAGCAGTTTTGAGGTGGTCAGTCCCTTAGCCTGGATGACAGTTCTGCTCAATAGTCTGGAGGGTAATGAACTGATTACATCGTCTTCACATCTCTACAGCTTCTGCTGCCTCCTTTGTATTCGACTAAGGAAGCCTATTGTTAAGCGAAATGTTTCGGAACAAAGAAAACTAACTGTTCCGCATATGTCTTACTTATCAACTTGCCTGCATTGTATACCATTATCATTATTTTCCACTGTTATGAACATGTTGGGGATACTACTTGACTGACTCTGACAGGCACCTAAAGATGGCAGCCTTCCCACACCTCTGAGCCTCTTCGTGAACACTTCGCCCAGAGCGGGTGTATAAAGACTATCTATGCATTACTCTGTAACGCCTGGCTCCGGTATCCATTACGAGAACAAACTTCCGATACACTTCTTGTCGTGTGTGAGTGGGACACCTGACAAGAGAGATGCACAGCACGTTGATCTGACACACTGACATGCTCTCGAAGCCATTTAAGCCACGTGAGTTGTCACTACTATAATTAAGCCCCTGTCTCTCTTAACCTTACACAAAGTAACGGATTACACTCTGATTAATTAGGTACAATGAAAAGAATGACAGAACTTCACCTGAGGTACATAATGACTGCTCCTTCTGGACGAGTGTTTGATGGGAACTTAAACCTTGCTAAATAACAAGAGCTGTTGTTACACTGAAGCACTGTTGATTCGTTACAGTCAACTCCCAACACACTTACGATATGTCTGCACGCTGTTGTTATCAAGGACCCAACATCTGATCTGTCTCAGTTGCTTAAGTCCAGATGTCAACACTATACCAGTGAGTCTCACTACTATCCACCGGCAGACGAGACGTTCAGAACACCATTATTTATTCGTAACTGATGTATTTTTTTCTTTGTATGAAAAGGACACAGCATCTAGTCTGGCTTTCGTATCGACATATCACTATATCAAACCATCTCATGCGTTGTTTGACTTCCCATGCGAGACTAACCCAACCTCCGGGCTGAGAAGGATGACAAAGTTGATCCCATGTCTCAGAAATATTTCCTATGAGGATAGATTGAGAGCCCTGACTCTGCAATGTCTAGAAAGGCAAAGAATTAGGTGAGATATGATTGAGGTGTATAAATGGAAAAGGGCAATAAATAAATGAGAGGTAAATTAAGTACTAAAAATATCTGGCCAAGACAGAACTCGTACCAGAGGGTTCAGGTTGGATAAGTTTAGATTTAGAAAGGATATAGTACACCATTGGATTGGTAATAGAGTTGTGGTTATGTGGAACATACTCCTGAGTAGCGTCATTGAAGCTAAAACCTTGTGCAGCTTCAAAAATAGGTTAGATAAATTGTAATAATGTTAGAGAATTAGACAAGTACAAGAGCGGGTATGGGTAGGTGTAAGTTGAACCTGTTTAGCTTGGGTCAGTAAGCCTCCTGCAGTGCTCCTTCCTTCATAAGTGGGTTTAACTTGGAACTGCCTAGCATAGGCCAGCAGGCCTGCTGTTATGTTCTATGCAGATCTAGACGAGGGAAGGCCAGGGCGATTACTAGCCAACACTAACCGAACGAGAATAACTCTGCTTACGTGAATGCGAGGCTATTGAAGTCTTGGCACTCATTCCATTAATACAAGTAATGCAATGCTCATAAGTGAGCTAGTAGGTGGCACATGGTAGTCAGCATTCTTCACGAGTCTTGCCTCTCCCCAACGTCGTCTAGGAGAGCAGTTATCACCACCGTTCGAGGGGTCTCGTAACTCTACCAAAGACGGTTGCAGCTCAAACCTTCTCTCCCCATCCAAGAAGGGGAGAGAAAGCTCTCGGTTCTCCTTCGGACATTCTAATACATGGTGAATGAACATTTCTTTCATTATTTTATGGCATCTTAAGCTGGATTAGGTTAGTTTAAGTTGTTGTAAGTTGGGATATGTTACGTTAATTTAGCTTAGGTTACGTAGTCTGTTTATTTTAAGTATGCTAGGTTAGATTAGGTTGCGTTACATTATGCTTGTTATTTGAGATATGTTAGGCAGGATTAGGTTAAGTTAGATTAGATAACATCAAGATACTATAGGTACGACTACGTTAGAGCAGGTTGAGTTAGGTTAATTAGGGCAGGTTAAGTTAATTTAGATTAGATTAGGATGATTAGGGTAGGATAAGGTAGCTTAGGTTAGAAGACTTTTAGATTAATGTAGAGTATACTAATTAGTTTAGGTTAGAAATAAATGAAAACTTTTTAAAGCTTTAATTACTCTCTGTACATTACACTCTCTCCCGTGTCTGTGGATGTGAGAATCCCGACATTTCTTTCCTGCTCAACTTGCCACTCCTCACAGACATAGCCTCTACAATTTAATTGCTTCGAGATGATTGTATCACTGTTTTAGCATCTCCTGAACTCTCTGGAAGAAACAATGACTTACGGAGAGGGACATATGCACTTTCGGAGCAATATTAATATCTCAATCTGTGTCTTGTTCATCTGTAATTTTCTGTATGGGATCTAATTCAATAAACATATTAGCATATTCATTGTCTTCAATCAAAGAAGACTTGTTAAGGAAAATGTGACATTTTATTGTGGCAAGGTTTCGCTTTCCAGGAGCAAGTCTCCAGGAGACTTGCCTTCGGAAAATAATATTTCCTTGAACAACCACTACACAGTGTGTCCTGCGAGGTTCGCATTATACTTAATGCCCATATGTAGGGCTATTATTCACCACTGTTGTAGTGGGGAAAACTGATGTGGAGGTAGTCGTTAACGGCACTGTGATACCTTACACCATTTCTATTGTCATATGTAGGGCTATTATTCACCACTGTTGTAGTGGGGAAAATTGATGTGGAGGTAGTCGTTAACCGCACTGTGATACCTTACACCATTTCTATTGTCATTTGCTAAGGTAAGATGCAGAGAATTTATAACAGAAAGGCACAATACCGTAAGTGGAACAATACACAAATAACCCGTACATAGGAGAATGAAACTTATCGGTCCGACTTGGACTAGTTAATGGTCCAAGTCTGACTGATACATAGTCATATATGCGGGTTATTTGTGTACTGCAGAGAATTTAACCACATTTCCCTAGAATACCAGATATCAAGTTCTATCACTGGTTGACCGAGATACAAGACGAATTAAACCATACCACGGGCGGGATTGTCAATCGTGTCATTACGATTTCGTGAGTCATGAAGACGAATTAACATATACACACCATAACTCTATTGTAAAATTAATAGAGCACATTATACTCAGAAAAAATTCTGACAGAGTCAGCCTGTAGACACACACAGGCTGACTCTAGCTCTAACACAATTTGGGAGCAGAACCCAGATGGTAAGATATTAGCTGCCAGACAATTAATCTTGATCGTGGACGAGGCCCCGAGTTGAGATATGCCTGACTCAGCTTCCAAAGCAGAACCTTTTGTGGGCAAACTATTTTATTGTTTTGTTACAAAAATCTTACTTTTGTTTGACAGTCTATGGACTTGTGAAACAAGAAATCCAAAATGCCTCTACTGTATTGAAGAATGAGACACTTGTGCAATATTTGAGATATTTATTATGGAAGCGTTTCACCAGGCGGTGGTTTCTTCAGTCCAATAGAGAGAAGAACGTGGAAGATGAGAAGGGTTTGAGGTAATCAGTCCCTCAGCCTGCAATCGATGTGTTCAGTCCATCAATCTTGAGAAAAGTGCTTTTCTCTAGAAAATATGCTACAAAAAATAAAAAAAAAAATAAATGAAGTTTAACAGTACCCATGTAAGTCAGTCACCCTCATGACTTACTGAGTAGTCCACTTAAGCTCACAGTTTGTCTACATGGAACAGATGCACCAAAAGGCTAAATAACAAATCCCTCCCCAGCAGTTGAATTCCATAACCACAAAACAGTTAATTCACACATGATCAAGTGCAGACACCACACTCGAATTTCAGAAATCAGGTCTGTAATGACGAAACGTGTCAGCGATAATCTTGGCGTGTTTTATGTATACTTTGGTCTAAGTTCAGCATCTTCATCTACAATATCATTAAAATAAGAGAATTCACAAGATAGAAATATACTGAAGAAAATCAATGTGTATGCATGTGAGGCTATGTTAATTGAGACTGAGCATGAGCTCCTGTCTTCCCCATTTGACAGAAAACTGCCAACTGCTCCTTTCAGCTAGTGTAGAGTGAAGGGAGATGAGATTAGGGTGGAAGTCCACTAGCACTGAACGAAAAATTAAACCATGCATACTGCTTATTACTTAAGTATTTTGTGCATAGCAACCCCCAAATTCGAAATACAATAAATTGAATAGTAATAAAATGATAAATATGTAGAAAATAATATGGTTATTACAACAGAAGATCTCGGCATTATCTCACCCAAAGACAATATCCTTTGTGGTAACAAGTCTCTTTGCATTAAATATTAATAATTAAATGCTAAACAGAAAATAATGCAAACACATATTCATTACTATGTGGTGCAATTGTCTGGAATTAAATCTGTGAGGAGAAAACAGCAGATTGACTTTTGCCTTAGATCCGCAGTGAAGACACTAATGTGCAGCAGTGTATATAATTGTTCAAAGCACTTCAGAAATTTATATAAATCCATTGCAGCAGGTGCAACAGGTGATGATACAACAGACTCTTACAGCAGTTATGAAATCGATATAAAACCCATAGAGATTATTAGAGGCAACAACTTGGAGGAGGTAAGTTTAAAACACAAAGACATG